AACAGCTTGATTGGTGTGGTCCAGGCAACCAATTTCAGGGCTAACAAATGACAGCTGAAAAAAAATCATTCTACTCATAAGCAGCCAAACAAATATTTCACATAAACAAATAAATTAAAACATCCGTACAAAGCGTCATACGCATATGATAGTTTTTTATAAAGCACTGCTGAAGAACAATCAAATGCTCAAAAGTTATTCACAGAAAAATAGCACTACTGCAATTTAGAAATAAGTAATCGATTGAATAAATTACACCCACAATGTCGGCAATAGACTACACAAAATATTACTATCATCAGAATATAAGAAAACAATGGTACATTATCATTTACAGCGATATACTGAGAGAAATAGACTACAAATTTGTGATATAACGGAAATGTATGCACATTAGTAATCAAGTAATAGTCCACGTAAAGTACAAAGTGCAGTCTTAAGTAAATGCTTATGCTAATTTAGAATATATAGAAGGTTGTATTTCAGTGACTGTAGTTTATAATATAGCTGGTGCAAAAAACGTGGTATAAGTGAATCTCCTTTATTACGAGTGTTGATAATCTGATTGTTGCACTGCATAACCGCAGTTGACTGAATAAGTTGTATAAATGCAGAAGAACATAAATAGAATGATCGCAGAACGTAAAATTCATACATGTATTGAAATTTGATTAAACTATTGCTAAAGTTTCCGAAGTCAGAAATAAGTAAGCAGTGTCGGCAATGTGACGGATAGCTTTCTTCTGCAAAAACAATATTTCGCATATGTTACATTGACTTGTAGTAAAACAAACTAGACTGCAATAATTTATACGCGATTGAAAAGTTGCTTTATGTATTACGACATTTCTTCTACTCGTCGGTGCTATTTTTCTCTACTGTCTTTCCTTTCACTGTGTCTTTGTGCTGCCCTTTCAAGATGAGTAACGTCCATTATCAATCATAAATATTTGAGTTAGCAGTAGTAGTTAACGGTCACAGAATGACAGTCGTAAATGAACGGACACCGAACTTGGGCTAACGTCACCTACTAGCCGCATGTAGGAGTTACATGAGGGAAAGGAAACGCGCGTCGTGTCTACGCTGTTGGCCGGTCGCTATTTTTAGCGGGGCAAGCGTAAGTGGAAAAGGCGGAGTTACCGCCGGGCGATAAAGAGCGGTATGGATGGGTACTATGAGCGAGGCCGATGCTATTGGTAATGGCGCCGCCAGCCATTGTGTTTAATGCATAAAAAATGCACTTCTATTATTATAAACGCGGCGAATAGGACGGACGAGTAAAAAAGATGCGTTGAAGAACTAATCGTGGATGTCAGTCATGATGCCTTACTGCCGCGTCCCCCCTTAACCAAGAACATGGCGAAAAGAGTGTTGGGTAGAAAAATCGTGTTTGTAAACATCCCAAACTATGTGGCCATGGCGCAGTGGGTAGCGTGCTTGGCCTCTGTTACGAAATGAAAGGTGTTGGGTTCGACTGTCGTCGACTGTTTCACTGCTTTCTGATCGTGCATATTTTTACGTCATTTCCGTGACTTAAATACCTCACTGAAGCCTTCGTGGACCCCGTAGTTAGACACTTTTATGTTAAAAGTCAAGAAGAACTAAAAGGCCCACCATTAAATACACAGCTGGAAGTGTGAGCGATATGGCAACAAAGAGCGTTAAGCGAAAAGTCCGCGACGGAGAAAAACGACGGTGCTGTGTAACTATCGAAACAAATAATATAATTAGGAGAAAGGCAATATATGATAATTCTAGGAGAAACACCTTACTGTGGAAGCGCGATCGGGATTACGTAGAAGGCGTAGATACAAAGCAATAGAAATGCACATGTCGGAACATAAGGAAACGACAAAGCATGTTCCACTTGTATGTGGAGGTTGATTGATTGATTGATATATAGGGTTTAACGTCCCAAAACCACTATATGATTATGAGAGACGCCGTAGTGGAGGGCTCCGGAAATTTAGACCACCTGGGGTTCTTTAACGTGCACCCAAATCTGAGCACACGGGCCTACAACATTTCCGCCTCCATCGGAAATGCAGCCGCCGCAGCCGGGATTCGAACCCGCGCCCTGCGGGTCAGCAGCCGAGTACCTTAGCCACTAGACCACCGCGGCGGGGCTTGAATGTGGAGGTATCCAACTATGTGTATGTTAGGGAGAGCAATGGTAACCGGCAGATTCGCAAAAAAATCATTCGAGTACTGGTGACAGAAAGCTAGAGAGAAGGGAAAAAAGTAAGGAATAAAAAAAGTAAGGGTGTCACGTTGTAAGGATCAGTGACCTGAGCTGCGAATTGACGTGTTTTGTGTGTGTGTGTGTGTGTGTGTAGACAATGTAGACTGAGTAGACAATGTGTTATAGCTCAACTTGTATTTATTTGAAATGATCCCCGCCCCCTCGGGTGGAAAGAGGACACTCATAGCATCCACGGAGTATAGACAAGGACTCGCTTTCGAATACGCTTTGTGTGGGCCTAGTCGGTACATATCTATGAATCAACAGCGCAAACACGCCCCAGAAAGAAAAGAAACGTGTGCCGTTTCTCTGTTCTGCGCTTGCGCTGTTATTTCAGGGACTCACTCTTGAGGAAGCCATAATCGGAAACCAAATCACGGCATTAAACGAAAAGAACGAAATACCTGCTGCGGTCGAATCCAGTGGCGGCGCGAACCGGTCGAACAAAGTGCGCGATATGGGTCTTGCGCAGCTGGTAAAAACGAGTTCCGCGTGCATTGTACAGGGGGTACCGCCACTGTGTGTTCTTCTTGGAGAGCTGCTCAAGGATGTGTCACCGTTAAATTGGCACTGAAACACTTTAACATCGTAATTACAAGGACACAATACTTATTCGAAGGCAAATGTAGGAGTCCCGAAAAGAACAACGGATGGCACGAGACAACACTTTTACGCAAATAAAAACTATGAGATGCAAACAACAATTCAAATTAGTCTGCAGCTAATGAATGACACTCACAAACTTCGCCTCTTAACAAGAGGTGCAACGAAAAACAATACCTGGAGTTTAACCGCGATATGATTATTAGACTCGCCGTAGTGGAAGGCTCCAGAAATTTCTACTATCAGGGGTTCTTCGACGTGCCTCGACACCGCGAACCTCTTATCTCATCTCTATCGAAATGTTACCGCCTCGGCCGAGATCAAACCCGCGACCTGCAGTTCAGCAGCGCGCCAGGAAAAATGCAATGCCAGTGGACACATGTTGAAGTCACACCTGTCTTTAGTAACTTTAAAGGCATATTGGCTTGTTGTTGAGACTTTATTGATATAAACAGCGCGAAAAACGAGGACACAAAGAAACAAGCGCTAAAGCACCAACAATTGCAAGGGCAAGGCGTATCGCTTTTTAAATCCGCCTCCCCTTCCTGGTCTGTGTAGAAGCGGGCTTGCTTGTTTATTTCTGTATCCCCTTTTTTAGCGCTGTTTCGCATCGATGAAGCTATCCTTGCACCTGCAGCTTAAACATTGTCACGCCAATTCACTGTTCTGCAATGGATCGCCCCATTGTGCGATACTACCCAACCCCTCTCCAAGCTTTATAGAATATGACGAAGAAGAACGCACATGTTCGGTATACTGCAGGATTTGTTGTTGCCTCGTGTCGTTCAGAAGCCGCTATAGAAGAGAGGGTGAGAAAAATCCTGAACACCAACGCGATGACACGTTGTTCCACGTGTCCCTGCTTTGACGTCAGCGCACGTGCATTTCTGCTACGCTGTCTTCTGCGGCGCTGATAATTTCAGTGCCATTTGTGCTACGCGCGTTCACTAACGGACGGATGATATGTCCTGACAAAAAAACAACAAAAAAATTGGTGGGGTCACGGGCCCGGTGTGTCAATCCCTGGCTACGCCACTCGTAGCGCTGCGTCTCGTCTTACCATAGCCCGTGTGACTCTTAACGCTATTACTTGGATCAGTATGTCCTTTTCGGCTGCGTCGTACGTTTAGCAAAGCATCGACTCGTGCTTTCGCGGAAGAAAACAATGTAAAGCTTGCACACCATATGTCCTGTCCTGGCAATTATTGAAATCTGGAAATTGTAGAATCAGTGTTCCTTGTTAAGTGTGTTAATTGCAATATAATAGCAAGCACCAATACGTATGTCTAATCGAAATGCAACACCCCAAGGCTATAGTGCCTTACGTTACACTACCATAGAGACCCCCGAGAAATTAATGTGATTCTACCCTTGACATAAAAGCGCCATTGCTGATATAATACTGGTATTTTAAAAACAACGTCTACAACTGAAACAGGAAACGGCTCATTGCTCTAATGAGAACACTGCAGCAAAGGCCACCCATTCTAGAATTTTAACCAGACTTCTTAACCGTTCATAGGAGAAGATGAGGTAGCGCTTTCAAATAGCTGCGTGAGACGCATTCGCTACACAGAAAGCCATCGAGAAGGACGGGAGATGCTTTTTTTTCCGCTAGCTCATCCAATGCATCTTTTAAAGAGTTAGCGGCGGTCACCGGCCCCACCGTCACGCAGGCTGCGCCACGTGGCTACCGGCAATCAACTCGTGCACGACGGCTCGAAACGCGAACCGCCACGCTTTCCGCGAAAGGTGATAACGCGGCGGAGCGAAGAAATCGAGCCGCACGTTCATCGTAAGCGCAGCTATCCATGTTGCGACCGCCGGACTGACCCTGTGGTCAAATGGGCGCGTCGTTCGCTCCCGCGTCGTCTGCAACCACCAGTGCGCAGTGTCCCCGTCAGGTTTTCCCTACCCATATGTACGACGCATATTTTGCACTTCCCTTAAGGTAATTATAAAGGGGTGAGGGGGGGGGGTCACGCCTTTTCGCAACGACCGAATGCGGCTGCTACGTTTGTGATACGTGTCCATCGCAGGAAGTCCCTTCGCGCGTCATACCTTTGCGCATAAAGAAAGCACGGTCAACGAAAGCTTGCTGCGAGGAAACTTTCTGCGAAAGCGCGCACGGCGAGCACGCTTCGAAGCACCTCACCTGATTCAGTCTTCCGGGGTCCGTCGTCCACACCGGCTCGGCTCCGTGTGCCCGCGCCGCTCTCAACGCCAGGTCGAGTTCGCCGGGGAGCCACGTGTACCTGTCAGGCAGCTTCGTGACGTCAGCGGCTTCTGCTGACCCGACCACCAGTTCTTATTACGTCGGGGGCGGGCCACGTCGTTCTCGCACAACCTCTGCAGAAGCAAATAGCGCGCCCATTTCCATGCCATTTTATGTTTAGTTTCCCGTCTGGCAATAGGGGGCACCACAACGCAGACCACCTTGCTGTACAGGTTTTCCCGCTCAATTTAATCCAAGCGCCAGCCAAATTAATCTAGGCGCCAGTCAATTTAATCCAGCCGCCACTGAAATTAATCCAGGTGCCATTCGTTTTAATCCAAGTGCCACTGAAATTAATCCAACCGCCAGCCGATTTAATCCGGACGCCAGCGAATTTAATCCTGATGACATTGTGACTTCAAAACGACCCAGAATTTTCAGGAATGCGTGGAGTGAATAGCTTTGGAGTGAAATTAACAGGGAAAATCCATGAATGAGTGACACAATGTAACTCACGCGACTTTATCACGCCTATCACCCGCGTAAGCACGATTCACACCTTCGACATGCATATCTAAGGCAACGCCGTCCACACAGTAATAACTTGATAATTATTAACCAGGCCAATGATCTCATCACGAGTGACTTAGGTGACGTCCTCACGCATATCACCCACGCACGCACTGTCTTAACCTTCCGTCATGCATATCAAATGAAACGTCTTTGAAAGGGCGGGATCTTGATACCTAAAACTCGGCCAAGTCACCTGATAACCAGTTCCTCAGGGACGTCATCACAAATATCACCCGCACACGTAATTTACTCGCCTACCGACATGCATACCAAACGAAATGTCTTTGAGAGAGCGATAACGTGTTACCTATGACTCGGCCAACTGACTTGATCACTTGTGATTTAGGTGACGTCATCAAGCCTATCACCCACGCACGCAATGTCTAACCTGCCATCATGTATACCAAACGAAACGTCTTCGAGAGGCGAATAAATTGAACGCTGTCAATCGGTAGAGTGACGTGATCACTAGTGACTCGTGTGACGTCATCGCGTTTGACAACCACGCACGCAGCGTCTAACCTGAGTTCATACATATCAAATGAAACGTGTTTGAGAGAGTAATAACTTGAACGCTGTCACAAGGCCCAGTGACGTCATCACTAGTGACTGCCGTGACGTCATCTCGCCTAAGACTCTCGCAAGCACTCTATAATGTGCCTTCATGCATATCAAACAAAACGTCTTTGAAAGGGTAATAACTTGAATGCTGGCACTAGGCCGCGTGACGTCATCACTAGTGACTCACGTGGCGTCATTACGCCTATCACACGCACACGCAGTGTCCAAACCTGTTTTCATGCATATCAAACGAAATGTCTTTGAGAGAGTAATAACTTGAACGCTGTCACAAGGCCCAGTGACGTCATCACTAGTGACTTGCGTGACGTCATCACGCCTATCCCACACGCACGCAGTGTCCAAACCTGTCTTCATGCATATGAAACGAAATGTCTTTGAGAGAGCAATAACTTGAACGCTGTCACAAGGCCCAGTGACGTCATCACTAGTGACTTGCGTGACGTCATCACGCCTATCCCACACGCACGCAGTGTCCAAACCTGTCTTCATGCATATCAAACGAAATGTCTTTGGGAGAGTAATAACTTGAACGCTGTCACAAGGCCCAGTGACGTCATCACTAGTGACTAGGGTGACGTCATCATGCCTGACACCCACGCACGCGGTGTCCAAACCTGTCTTCATGCATATCAAACGAAATGTCTTTGAGAGAGTAATAACTTGAACGCTGTCACAAGGCCCAGTGACGTCATCACTAGTGACTGGCGTGACGTCATCACGCCTGACACCCACGCAGGCAGTGTCCCAACCTGTCTTCATGCATATCAAACGAAATGTCTTTGAGAGAATAATAACTTGAACGCTGTCACAAGGCTCAGTGACGTCATCACTAGTGACTTGCGTGACGTCATCACTAGTGACTTGCGTGACGTCATCACGCCTATCCCACACGCACGCAGTGTCCAAACCTGTCTTCATGCATATCAAACGAAATGTCTTTGAGAGAGTAATAACTTGAACGCTGTCACAAGGCCCAGTGACGTCATAACTAGTGACTTGCGTGACGTCATCACGCCTGACACCCACGCACGCGGTGTCCTAACCTGTCTTCATGTATATCAAACGAATTGTCTTTGAGAGAGTAATAACTTGAATGCTGTCACAAGGCCCAGTGACCTCATCACTAGTGACTGGCGTGACGTCATCACGCCTGACACCCACGCACGCGGTGTCTTAAGCTGTCTTCATGCATATCAAACGAATTGTCTTTGAGAGAGTAATAACCTGAACGCTGTCACAGGCTCAGTGACGTCATCACTAGTGACTTGCGTGACGTCATCACTAGTGACTTGCGTGACGTCATCACGCCTATCCCACACGCACGCAGTGTCCAAACCTGTCTTCATGCATATCAAACGAAATGTCTTTGAGAGAGTAATAACTTGAACGCTGTCACAAGGCCCAGTGACGTCATAACTAGTGACTTGCGTGACGTCATCACGCCTGACACCCACGCACGCGGTGTCCTAACCTGTCTTCATGTATATCAAACGAATTGTCTTGAGAGAGTAATAACTTGAATGCTGTCACAAGGCCCAGTGACCTCATCACTAGTGACTGGCGTGACGTCATCACGCCTGACACCCACGCACGCGGTGTCTTAAGCTGTCTTCATGCATATCAAACGAATTGTCTTTGAGAGAGTAATAACCTGAACGCTGTCACAAGGCCCAGTGACGTCATCACTAGTGACTGGCGTGACGTCATCATGCCTGACACCCACGCAAGCACTCTGTAACCTGCCTTCATGTATATCAAATGAAACGTCTTAGAGAGAGTAATAACTTGAATGCTATCACTAGGCCTAGCGACGTGAATACTAGTGACTCATGTGACGTCATCACGTCTATCACACACGCACGCGCTGTCCTAACCTGTTTTCATGCATATCGAACGAAACGTCTGTGAGAGAGCAATAATGTTATACTTATGACTCGGCCAACCGACTTGATCACTATTGACTCACGTGACGTCATCACGACTAACAGTCATGCAAGCACTCTCTAACGTGCTTTCATGAATATCAAACGAAACGTCATTGAGAAAACATTAACTTGAAGGTCGTTGCAGGCAGCGTCTGCTAGTAAAAAACTAACTTCTCGCGCTGCAAAGCTGTTCACCAGCTAACCGGTATACGTAGGCACCAGATCGCGCGTTTCAAATTCAGTCAAAGGCGTCTTTACATGGCTTTTGTTTGACTTGACGCTTTTCTTGACTCGCGTAGATGCGATGGAAGCAACAGTACCTTCAAGCAGCAGTGTGGTACAACCCAACAACAGTGTCACATCGCTCGTTGAGGGCAGCGCTTCTCCTTCATTCAATAAATAGAAACAATGAAGTCGAAATGACAATTAAGCATTTTACAAACCGTACTCAACTACGCAACATTCAACCGATACCCTCACCTCCCTGCGACACGTTTACTCCAGCTCGTCGTGTGGGTAGATGTACGCGTCTTTTTTGTTGCTTCTCGTGTTTCGTAGAATGCCTTGAAAATGCGGGCAGCCAGGCCGCAATACTGTGAACGGACAGGCGTTCTACACTAAACAGGCACGCTTATTTCAAGCACACTAACCTATAAGAAACGGCGTGGCGTAGAATGTAGAAAGGAAGGCACGAGTCAGCCACAGCATTGAATGGCGCATCAGCAAATGGCCAGTTGCAAATAGCAATAGTATGTATCTCAAGTATGCGGACTGCCCTCTATTACAACGGATTTGTTTCGCAGGATAACCGGATGAAATCATTGTTGAGCCGAAGGAGTGGTAGACAAATCTTTTTGTAGCAAGCTTTGGAGCAGGCAGACCGTGCGTCTTATGCTTGATTAAGGATATACAGTGTTATGACTATAGCCGAATTATATGCAAACGCCTGTTTCGTTTCTTGTGCTCATATCGTGTCACTTTGACACGTGAGCACAAATTAGAGGGCGAGGAGAGCTTTTATAGTGCTTTTATAGTGCCTATATATACCTATTTCGGGCGTTGTAGCCTCAATTCGTATAGGTGCCTGTAAATGTCTGTTTTCAAAATCAATGCCTATATAAACGCTATTTAACCTGAAATTTTGCTTTCAAGTACCACTGAGCCCGGTATTCATGTTACCGGGCAAAATATAGGTTTCGGGACACTGTGTGGTGCAAACTACAGGTTTTCCCGCTCAATTTAATCCAAGCGCCAGCCAAATTAATCTAGGCGTCAGCCAATTTAATCCAGCCGCCACTGAAATTAATCCATGTGCCATTCATTTTAATCCAAGTGCCACTGAAATTAATCCAACCGCCAGCCGATTTAATCCGGACGCCAGCGAATTTAATCCTGATGACATTGTGACTTCAAAACGACCCAGAATTTTCGGGAATGCGTGGAGTGAATAGCTTTGGAGTGAATTTAACAGGGAAAAACCATGAATGAGTCACTCGTGACACAATGTGACTCGCGCGACATTATCTCGCCTATCACCCGCGTAAGCACTATTCACACCTTCGACATGCAAAGGAAACGCCGTCCACACAGTAATAACTTGATACTTATTAACCAGGCCGATGATCTCATCACGAGTGGCTTAGGTGACGACCTCACGCATATCACCCACGCATGACTGTCTTAACCTCCCGTCATGCATTTCAAGTGAAACGTCTTTGAAAGGGCGGGATCTTGATACCTAAAACTCGGCCAAGCCGCCCGATCACCAGTGACTCAGGGGACGTCATCACCCATATCACCCGCACACGTAATTTACTCGCCTACCGACATGCATACCAAACGAAACGTCTTTGAGAGAGCGATAACGTGTTACCTATGACTCGGCCAACTGACTTGATCACTTGTGATTTAGGTGACGTCATCACGCATATCACCCACGCACGCAATGTCTAACCTGCCATCATGTATAACAAACGAAACGTCTTCGAGAGGC